CCCCCCGCCCCCGCCAACACCCCGCCACGCCACGCCAGGCCACGCCAGCCCACGCCGCGCCACGTCACGCCAACGCTCAGGCTGCTGCTGGCCTGGGGCTGAAATTGAGGTCTCAATTACAGGACCTCATAGCTCTCCCGGGACGACGGGGGGACGACGCGCGTGGGTATACAGTACCCGCTACAGCGGCGCGGCGTCGGCGTCTGGGGATGGCGAAGGGTGCGATATTTGCGCCGCGCCTCGCCCCTCCCCAGCGGCAGAGCTATAAATTCTAATAGTTTAATCAAGCCATTAACAGCTCTTGATCACGCACGGCCCGAGCCATCTCAAATAACGCTGCAAGGGTGGAAGGGTATATAGTACGGGCGGGGTCGGGTCGTCACCGCCCACTGTAAAAATTATTTTCAAAAAACATGTCCTTCTAGGAAAGTTTGTTCTAATGTTACAATAATTCTTCTCCTTTTCTTTGTCCAAAAAGTTATCGCAATCTTTTGATATGTTGTTCCCCGCACTTCAAAACCCACAAATTAGTACATGTTGAGCAAAACAAAAAATGTCCTACACACTGTGAAAAATCACCAGGTCGGAGAAAAAAAGGTCGGGCAAATCTAGCTGCACCGCCCACACCATATCACTCACCAATCACAAGGCACCGTGCACCCAAAACACCGAGTTCTAACTCTGTTTCTGGGGTGTGCGAGTACACGCGGGGTCGGGCCACGTCAAGCGTCGCGAACGGAACGAGCGGATGGCAGGTATGGCCTGCGGATGGAGCGTTTGCATTCTCCGGGAGGCCGGGAGTGTGATGGCAGATTGGCACTTTCCCGTGCGAGAGGCCTGTGAGCTGCAGTCGACCCGACACCCGACGGCACGGAGCCTCGCCGTCCCTGCCACTCAGCTGACACACACAATGATGGCCGGCCCTATACCACCCCGACCCGGAGTGCCTGTGATGCCCTCTCAGTGCCCCCCCCCCTTCTTCCCCCCTCCCCCCTTTACCCTTTCGGAAGGACACATATCACATGCTTCAGGGTCGCGGGCCGAATGACGTCCAGTTGTGCACTCTAAAATATGTCAAGGATGGTAACTAGAACACAGGGGGACTGCTGCGTGCATAACTGACGGTTCAGATACAATATACTGTTACTTGCTAGTCACAAAAATGAGTGTTGCTGGTTACAATATTGTAATATATTGCAATATATATTGCTTCCGAGCTAGTTATACACGCAGAAGTCCAGTGCTAGTTACAAAAGAAATGTCCTGGTGAAAAGTGAAAAAAGGGCGTAAGTCCGATTCAAGGCCGTCGTCGACTTACGCCCTTTTCACTTTTCACCAGTGAAGTATAAACACCTGTACCTGTAATCGCTCGCTACGCGATCGACGCTGTGTCCGGTCCCGGTCCGTGAATAGAGACGCGTGCGCTGCCGACCTTACTTACTGCACTCTCGAGTGTGTCCCACCCACCCTGTCCCTCCCCGCCCCACCCCGCCCTCCGCGCTCAAAGAGGTTGGTGGTGGCATGATGCAAGGCAGAAGGCAGTCCATCCAGACACGAGGAGCGATCGTCCAGGAAGTAGAAGTACGTCTGCCTTCGTCCAGGATTCATCCGTCAGCTAATGGGAGCTCGGGACCTCCTGCAAGGAGGGTGCGGGTGCGAGGTTCGGGGCATAGGCCGACGGCCGACCCACAACCCGCAGTGCACGCATGCGCCTCAGGCCGGATGTTTGCCTGCCTACCAGGCGCTAGCTCGCTCAGACAGGCTTTAATAGATACTTCTTCATCAGACAGACAGACAGACAGACAGACAGACAGACAGACAGACAGACAGACAGACAGACAGACAGACAGACAGACAGACAGACAGGCAGGCAGAGAGGAGCACAGAGCGCACAGAGCGAGAGAGAGAATAGTGTATAAGTGCAGCGCAGGCACGGGCTGCGCATGGCGCTCATGTGGGTTTTGAAACATTCAGGACCAAACACTAAAAGCCGAGAGATAAGGGAATGGCGTGGCGCGGCGTTGTGCCGGCGGCCGCTATGCTGCCATTCCCCAGCTGACGCCCCCCCTCCTCCCCTCCCCCCTTTCTCCTCCTCTTCCCCCTTCTCCCCTCCCGGTTGGGCTGAGCGTCAGTGCCGGCTGTTCGCGGGGAAGGAGTATGGTGCAGCAGCAGAACACCCACCACCAGCAGAGTGACCAGCATGGGGAATGGGGAGGAGGAGGGGGGGTGTGTAGGAGAGGGAGAAGGTTAGAGAAGGGGCGGGAAGGGGGAAAACGAAGACGAAGACGATGATGGCGAGGAAGGAGGGAAAGGGGG